AGATCCTCCTTCCACTTCGTCACCGCCTCGAATGTCGATGGCCGGGTGATGTCAAAAACGATGAAGGCTCCCATGGCCTCTCGATAATACACCCGCGTCATGTTCCCGAAACGCTCCTGGCCTGCAGAAGAAATTGAATCAGAACAAACCGCACAAGAGTCTCCTGTAAACACCAGCTATATAGGTCATGAACATACACACATTTCACCGTGACTTCATGGTGGTCATAGCAGAACACAAAGACAACAGTGAGAGGTTTATTTTCAGCTGAAGCCTTGGGTGAATGCGAGAGAATTTCAGTCTTTCTGCTTTTTCCGATCCACGTGATCGTACTTTGAGATTCTTGTACACAGTTCCAAGGGTCCGAACTAAAGCCTGGATATCGTTAATGAGGAAAAGCACATTCCAACGGCTCCACTGAGCTCCAGTGAAAAAACTTAAAGCTCAGTGCTCAGGATTAGTGTCAGAAGTTACTGGAGCAGTGGAGTGAAGACTGAGAAACTATGAAGAGAGCAATGGAAACCACCCAGCTAACAGAGAATGTTCTCAGAACTTTCTGGCAATGTTCTCTCAAAGTTATGAATAAACATTTTTTCAAGAACTTTTGTGGCCTTTAGTTGCATTCTAAACATGTTAGCACACAACCATTATTTGTACATTGTTCATGGAATGTTTTTTTTCTCTTCTTTCTGAAACATTGTAGTTGTACATATTTGAAATGTTGCAACTTGTTTCAGAATGTTCAGAGAATATTGATAAGTAACATTCCATAATGTTTGCAAAATTCTAAAATGGAATGTTCTCTTAATGTTTGCATAAACAAGAAAAAATGTAAACATTTTTAAAAAGTGGACCTTTTGAAATTTTTGAGAACATCCAGAAATAATTTCCTCATAACTTAATGGCAAAACGATCCCTGAACATATTTTTGTTAGCTGGGTAGTGCAGCAGCATGAGACGTCCTATAATAAATGAGTCCAACAGCTGAGAAATAAATAGTTGCCATTTACAACAAAAGATGGCATGTTTTCTTTACAATAAAAAGCTTTTCGATATTAAATGGAAAGACATTCAGTCATGTAAACGTTGAGTGCTTAAATAGCCTACCTCTATAATCGAGTTGATTTGGTTTTTTTTTTTCCTTGGGAACGATTAAACAAATCACGCTCCTCTCTGATGTCTCTGCTCATTTAATCTGTTAACAACGACGTTCCTGTTTTCCTTCTGCTTGGTTTAGGTGGAAATCTCCCTCACATGAGCGACGAACACATGACAGAGCAGAGCCAGCGCGCGTGAGGAACGTTATTCAAGAGAGACTGGAGAATAAAACAATGCGCCTTCGTAATTACATTACGGCATATTTGAATAAGTTTGGTTCACATAACATTATAAAGTTATATAAAGCCTTTATATAAACTATATATAAAATGTTATATATGAAATTGCAAAACTCTAGCCTATATGAATGGACTTTTTTTTGTCAGTTTTTAGTATCAAAAAGAAAACTAGAAAGCAATAAAATTGAATGATTTCTATCTATCTGCAAGTTATTCACAACTTTGTGACAAGTTGAGAGTAAAGAAAAATAACTAATAAAAATAAATAATACTACGCACGTCAATGTCTACGACTGTAGGCTACATATGACTATACAAATGAATGCATTTATAAAATTGTGTACCTATTATTTATTTAGTAACTTTAAAATCTTAGGCCCAGAAGAAATGTATATAAAAAATAAAAATAAATTACCGGCGATGTCCCAGAGTTGTAGTCGGACGGTCTCCTGGTCGAGGTTGAGAACTTTGAGCGCGAAATCCACGCCGATCGTCGCGCGGTAGTTCGTTGAGAAGTTCTGGTGCACGTAGCGCTTGATGGTGCTGGTTTTCCCCACACCCAGATCCCCGATCACCAGGATTTTATACAAGTGTTACTTCAGGTGATGGTTCTGCATGGCTGTGTGAGACGGAGCCGAACATGGACGCGTGTGATCCGCGGTCAGACTCTGAGGGAAGAAACAGAAACGCCCCGCGGAGAGAACAGCGCAACTTGTGACTCGTCAGTCGAGCATGAGACCAGAGACGGAGGGGCCTGTTGAAACTTCATCACCATGGTAAGTACAGATGTCGTAAAAGACCATAATTAAAACTACGGTTCGATTAAACAACAACAAAAAGCACCAAATACCACCGCTCTGAAGTGTAGTTACATGGTAGTAGGTGTGAGGATCACGCCCTCAACAACTGGCAAGTTTTCTTCACCAATTACGAAAATGTGCGAAGACTTAAGTGTAAGTCTTAGAAGTTTACACTGACTATCCAATATACCACAGTAACCATACTTGCTGCCTGTTAAACCTGATACTAAAGCAGTCATCAGTAAAACAAAAACGTTTATCTGTCTAAATGGGGACACAGACTTGGTTTGTTTTTATACAGAGGTAACTTAAGTTTCTGCATTGTTTAATGGGTTTTTTTTTTTCCATTCAGATGTGGACATACCTAAAGTAATGTAACTCAACTAGCTCACTTCGGTGTACAAATGTGTCCCCAAAATATGGTTAAACGGGTACAAACAGACTTTTTTCCCATACCATGTTTAGACCATGGCATATAGTTAACATCCCAAATGACCAAAGCCCACTTGAATTCTGAACTGACAGAACTAATATGAAATCCAACTCAAATGGACTCATTTATGGGATAAATACAAATTTGACTTCATGCATTTCTTTCCACTTAGGCTATACAAAAGTGAAGTACACCTGAGGGCAAAAGTACCTTAAAAGCAACTTTATTAAAAATCATGACACATATACAGGTGCAAAAAAGGCAAAAATCTAAGATTGCGATTGGATTCAAATAGTCCCGAGCAGCTTAACGGTTGGCAAAGGTCTCAAGTGATTGTTCATTAAAATCACAAGTACTGATTTTCCTGAGAGCAATTGCCAACTTGATATTCTCTAAATACAAGATGACTACGTCAATTAAAAGAGTGGTGTAAAAACTGACAAGGCAGAGTGCAAATGTGACATTCAGGATCAATGAAAATCTAAAATCCCTTTTCTTAAAAACACATTATAAGCAGTTGAGGCACATTGCAGCACCCGAAGGCACCCAACTTTCATTAGCACAGATCCAACAAGGAGGGGAAAAATATTAAATGCTGTTTTTGGTCATACACATAGTCCTTGTGGAAATCCACATAAACAGAGCAAAAAAGGACAGAACAACTTTGTTTGTGTGTTGAAGTAGAAGATTATGAACAGATGGAGGCAGCAGGTCAGTTGCAACAAAACACGGCACTGCAAATCTAGAGACAAGACCTACAAAAATTAAGATTTTTAGATCAATTTAAAACCATAACTACACTATAGACAGGGTTGGTTTTGGGTGACAGCAACAATTGAAAGAGCAGGTGACCCAAGACAGGCCGAATCAGGAGTCTTCAGGTGGACAGGTGGCTCAGAGAAAGATGATAACTGGGAATTTGAAGAGGCAGAAACTAAAATGGCCTCACCATTATTCCTTAAAGGGCTGCCAAAAAGAAAAGTAAAAGGCACAGAAGATTAATAAATTCCCTAGAGGTCAGCAAGAGAAAGTCGAAGCTATGGAGACAGATGATGTCGACTCACATGGAACAAGACCAAGATGACAACCAAAGAGGAGAACCTTGGAGCCAAAATTAACTTTGTTTCAAGCTTCATAATGTATGAAGATTTGGGAAATGAGAGCGAATCAAATCTAAAGAGACTTGTAATTTCACGTTCAAACAGTTTGCTACTAAAAGGGGCCTGAAAAGGCCATTTCACAAAAACAAATTAGACGTTTAGAACTTGGCGAAGTGAAAAAAAAAAAAAAAAAAAAAAAAAA